CTTTCCCTATGATTTCTTTTAACATCTGTTTAACAGTTTTCCAGAATTTTTGTATTTTTTCGCATTTCCACCATATGTGGAAGTACGTTCCAACATTGTGTTTGCATCTCCAACAGGATCCCGAAACATTTGTATACCATTTTTGCAATCTATCTGGGGTCCAGTGCCACCTGTGTATCATTTTTATTATGTTTTCTTTATAGGAGGTTGCTCTCAATAGCTTAATTGATTTCCAGGTTTTTATCCATTCCGCTCCCTCTATGTTTCGACCAAGTACTACTCTTGACTTCCATACATAAGTCAAAAACAGATAGTGTTATTGCTGGACTCTTGTCTGCTAGAAAGAAATTTAAATCCCTATCCAGAAAATCTCTCTGCACAGGGAGAAGTGGGCGAATCAAAACATTGCGCATAGCGAGATATTTAGGACAGCAAAAGAGAATATGAGTGATAGAATCAGGTTCCCCAAGATTACAGTTACAGAATCTATCCTTGTATGGCACACCCCTGTATCTACCGGATCATTGTGATTAAACAAAACAAACTTTGGTGTTTCACCTGCAGGAAAGTCCGTGGTGAAGCCAAGAAGTGCCGCAAAGTTTATGGCATCGAGCACCGTGACCAGTGGTGCACAGCCTGTCGGTGGAAAAAGGCCTGCCAGCGATTTCTGGACTGAGAGCACACATGTACATACACACACACTTTGAAGTGAAGGTTTGGAGATCTCCCTCTCGCCACTGGCCAAAAACAACCGGCGACACCTCAGTGTGTGTTGCTACATCTGGGGGCTCGGTGGCCCGGAAGTGGATCCTAGTGCTTCGTTGGAGATTTTGAGAGCCGCATGCTCATCCTGAGCTCTGTACAGTCTACGTCTGCCAGGTTTTCTATTTTTCGATGTTTTGTGGGGATGTTTTTTACACATTGTCCTTTTTTAAAACACACACACAGTCTCCATTTCTATTTGTAAACAAGAGGGGCAAAGAAAGGGGGGGAAAGCAGAAAACGGCTGGCTTGATAGATCTTACAGATTTCTTTCTTGGTGGGCCCAGGGACCAAAGAATTTTGAACTGCTCCTCAATAGGTAGATAAGGTTGGCTGGGCTGCAGTATGGAGCATTAAGTCTGTCCTTCCTGCCTCCCTGAATTTAATTAACAGGCACAAAAGGGAACAGAGCATGTATGCGGAGGGGAGCAACTGACTTGCTTCTGTCTGCTGGTGTCCCCCCCCCCCCCCCCCCCAAAAATTGCACTCTGAAGCATGTGTTGCTTTTGGGAAACAGACGCAGTCGGAAAAACAATCAGCGTTGCATTAAATTACAATCAAACCTAGAAACACCATGAAGTAGAAAGGATTTGCAAATACTTAGCTGTCTTTTCTCCACCAATGCTGTTTGGTCACTTTGGTGGGGAAAGCAAAAACATGTGATGTGGCTTGAAAGCTGACTTTGGCAGGTCTTCTACGTGCCACAGTTGTGGGGGAGGGAGGGTTTAGATGGATGCTCGTTCCACCCTCCTCCCCAGTGGGGAATCTGATTGCTGAAAAGCAAAGAGTGCGAGAAGAGTTTGGTGTTTGTGATGCTGCTTGCACCAGTGGAGGGGCAGTGAGAGCGTGGGGTCCTCTTTTTCTTGAGGTTTTGTTCCTGCACTCCAGGTTTAACCCTTTCTGGGCCATTCTGCACATTACAGAGCAGCAA